TCGTAGATATGGATGCGAAACCCACCGCGGGTCTCAGGCCTCCTTCGCGCCGCACACGAGGAAGTCGTCCTCTGGGAGGGGGGGCGGGGGGGGGGAGGGCGCGCAAGTGTAATGCGTGGGAGGGAGACAGATCCACTACAGGAGTGGCGACGACTCTCAAGGAAAAGCATCGCGGCCCTAGTTCCCCTTGCGGCCGCCCTTCTTGCCGTCCTTCTTGCCCCCGCCCTTCTTCGCCTGGGCGTCCTCGTCTTTCTTCCGCTTCCCCTCCTCGTCTTTCTCCCGCTGGTCCTCCTCGCGATTCTTCCGTTCCTCCTCCGCCTTCCGATCGGAATCCTCTGTATGCTTCCTCTCGGCTTCTGCCCTCGCGTCGTCCTCTTCCTTCTTCTTCCTCTCTTCCGCTGCCGTGCGGGCCTGCTCTGCTTGCGCCAGTCTCCGCTCCTCTGCAGCCTCCCTGTTGTTCTCCTCTTTCTGCCGCCTCTTTGCGCCAGCCCCCTCCTGCTCCGCAGCCGCCGTGGCCATAGAAGCCGCCGTCGCCACCTCCAGCGGACTCGCAGTGCTTGCGCAACTGCCCCCGCCTCCCCCGCGCATGGCGCCAGCTCTCTTTTTCTTGCGTTCTCGCTCGGCGCGCCTGTCCTCTTCCTGCTTGCGTTTCCGATTTTCTTCGGCTGCGTTCCTGGCTTCCTCCTCTTGCAGCCTCATCGCCGCAGCCTCCTCTTCTTCCTGTTGCCTCTGTTTTTCAAACTCCTCCGCCTCTTTTCGCTCCTGCTCGATTCGTTGGAAAGCTTTGGCTGCTCTGCTAGCGTCACTCACCTCTGCTTGTTCCAAGACGCGCAGGACTTGCCTCGTCATCTCTGCTCTCCTCCTCCTCTCGTCGGTTTTCGCTTGAATCTCCCTTTCTTCCGCCTGCCTGGCTGCTTCCTTCCTCTCTTCGTCTTGTCGCTGAAGAACTGCTTCCTCGCGTCGTCGGGCTGCTTCCTCGCCCCTCCGCGCCTGCTCCTGCAGAGCCCCCCTTTCCTTCTCCTCGCGCGCAGCCGCTCTCTCGCGCCCCCCCCTCCTCAGCCTCTTCAGGATTGCGCGCCCTCTCTTGTTGAGCTCCTCCGTCTCAGCGCCGCTGGCGTCGCCTGCGTCCGCCTCTGGGCTGAGCGGGGCCCCCTCGCAGATCTCGGCCTGCATTCCTGTCTCCTGCGTCGCAGGCTGCGTCGCTGGATGCGCGCCTGCAGCTCCTGCTTCCGCGCCTCCTCCTGCTCCCTCGGCCAAGCCCTGGGGATTGCGGACAATGTGCCCCTAGCTGGGGGCCATTGACACAAGTAGGGATGTTTGCACCCTTAGCAAAGGGGAATCTTATCGTAGAGCTGTTTTGGCGTCCCCTAGCGCAACGGTGCTTTATTTCCTGATCCCCATCGCGCCCCCGGTGGCGTTCGCGAGAGCTTGCTCGCCCCTGTCCATCCTCTGCCGCTGCCACCTGGGAGGGGGAAAGGGGGGGGGGCAGGGGGAGGAGACGGTGGAGGAGGAAGAGGGGAGGAGGGGAGGAGGAGGAGGACGAGGAGGAGGAGGAAGAGAAAGGAAGGGAAAGGAGGCGGGCGGAGGGAGGAGGCGGAGGAGGATGAGAAAAGGAAACGGATGTGAAGAGGGGGAAGGGGGGAGGGAGGGAGGGAGGGAGGAGGAGGAGGTGGAGGAGGATGAGGAGGAGGAAGAGAAGGGGAGGAGGAAGAGGAGGAGAAGGAAGGAGAGGGGGAGGAAGAGGGGAGGGAGGAGGAGGAAGGAGGAGGAGGAGGAAGAACCCTGCAAGAACAGAAACTGGAATTGAAAAACTGCGAATAGCTTTCCATACCAAACTCTGGTGACAAGAAAGGTTTAGCATGTCAAACTTAGGTTTCCAGTGGGCGCGCAGAATATTGGGTTCCCATGGGGGCCACCTGGCGCGCTCGGCCTCCGACTTGCGGCCGCGATAGCGGCGACCTCCCGTGGAGATGAAGCCCCGCTCCGTCCACCAGCGGTTGGCGCGGTGCTCCTGGCAGGAACGCGACGCGCACGTGAAGACCCACGTGCGCCTGCAGCACGTCTTACACAGCTGGATCTTGTCCGTGCGCAAGAACGGCCTTGTTGGAGCCCTCGTGCACCGCTTCTCCCTGAGATCCCTCAGCATCTCAGCCTCATCCCCCCCCTCCTCGTCTGAGACGGCGGTCGCGTCGCCCTGGGGGGGGGAAAGGGGGGGAGGACGAAAAAATCCTCGATTGAAGAGGCGCCCCCGAGCAAGGGGTAAACTTTTGCTTCCGACCCAGCGCCCTTCGCGTCATCGAGATGACGCTTCCGCGGAGGATCGCCCCACTGGTCGCCGCCGCTGCCTCCCGGAGCAGATCCGCTGGCAGCGATCATCGCCTGAGGGATGGGGGGGGGGGGGAGGGTTGGCGCGCGCCCTCGCTCTTCTCTGGCTCTACCCAAGGAGTTCCTGGAGGGAGAAGGTTTCTCTTAGAAAACTTTGGTTTCTGAATTCCCTGACCCCCATCTCGCCCCTGACATCCGAACCTCCTGATTTGTTTCCAAGACTCGCGGCCTCCGCCCCCTGCGAAGCGAGCCATGCGGCGAGCGCCGCGAGCACAAGAGCGGATTTCGCCATTGCGCGAAAGAAAGCCTTCTCGTGAGCCTCGCGGGCTCGATCGCCTTGAGCCGCAAACGGCTGCACTGAAAATAAACAATCGAAATCTCTTGCTGCGGTTCCCCCGAATGAAGGGGCGCGTCCCCTAGCAAGGGGTTCGCGACGCCCTGGTGGAGGGGATGTAAACATTATATAATAGCGTGAAGAGATGAGATGGCGAGCCCCTGACAGAGGGGAAGCGCTGCGTAAGATGACGATATGTGCTGATGATGGTGATGATGATCGTGATGATGATGAGGAGGAGGATTAGGATAATTCCATCGATCAGCTCCTCCATCAGAGCGTCCACAGCGCCCCGCGCAGCAGCCTTCGTCTCAGCAATCGTGCCCTCCTTGAGCTGCTCGCACACCTGCCTGCCGATGTCCAACAGCTCCTCCTTCGACACCTTGCCCCTCGCAGCGGCGCCTCCGAACGAGCATAGCTGATTATTCTTCCCGTGCCGCAGTTTGATCCCCATCCTGTAGTCCCTCTTGTAACAGTCAAGGTGATAATCGCGCCCGTCGACAGCGCCTCCAACTGCTTCGTCGGCTAGCTCGTCCTCCGCCTCGTCGTCGCCACCGCCTCCCGCGTCCTGCTGCTCCTCCTCCTCCTCCTCCTCTTCGTTTTCCTGCCCGCCGCCTTCTTCTCCGTCCGAATCCTCGCTGGCAGCCTTCGCGCGGGCTGGGCGCTTCCTGGGAGGTCCCTTCATCGCTGCAGCAGGGCGCTTCCTGGCTGCTTTCATACACTTGTTCTTCATTGTTTTGTTTGTCAGGTTTCGTCAGCGCCTCCTTCTCTTGGGCCTCCCGCTTCTTCCGCCCCTCAGCATGGGCAACGAGCAAGGCGTTGGACTGGTCTGTCTCGATCTTGCCCCCACCAGGCGCGCGTGCGATCAAAAAACCCATCTCGCCTGCTGACAGCGGCATGCGCGTCTCCTGGCCCGACTCATCAGCAACGACCATGGACGGCGGGTCGGAGTTCCAGTCGTACCACGCCACCTGTGATAAAGAAGACGGATGAGTTGGACGGATAGAAGAGGATGATCACAGCAGGAGAAATTAGCAGGCAGCAGAAAGGGATGGAGAGGAGGTGAAAAGTGACCTTCTTCGCAGAGCTAGAAGCGGCAGGTGCAGCGGAAGGGCGCGCAGGTGACTCCATCACCTCCTGGCTTGAGAAAACGACGAGCGGGCCGCGCACTTCGTCCTTCTTGGTCTTCGCCTTGGGCGGTGGAGAAATCCCATATAGCTCCTTGATCAGCTTGTGACTTGCGTCTGGACTGCGTGGTGCGCTCGCGGCTGGGGCCGAGCTCTCGGCACGAGTGTCATCCTCGGAGGTGCTCTCGACGACGTCACTGCGTGGCGTCTCCTTCTTTTTGCCAGAAGAAGTACGACCGCACTCCAAGTTCATCGCATCTCCGAGGGTCCTCGTGTAGTGATCCAGCTTCTCCGCGGTCACGGCGCTCCTGAACTTGTTCACTACGTAGCTGACGCACCTGCTCATCTCAGTGGCCCAGCGCTTCGCTTCCTCTGCCGCGAGGTGCGTCTTCTGCGAAACGATGGCATTCGTGAGCGCTGTGGAGCAACCGCTGCGACGCCTGGCACGCATCCAACAAGAACGGCATGTTATCCTTGATGATCTGCTCCGTTGTGCCATTGATGTAGTTCTTCTCGATCAATGACACGCGCCGCTTCACCAAGTCAACCATGGCCTCATCGCCGAGCTGGCAAGTGCGGTAGACGCGCGGCTTCTCCTTAGAAGCGCCCCCCATCTCAACGCAACGCCTGCTGCCACTCGCGTTTGAGCAAAAGTGGATGCATAAAAAATAAGGGAAAAGGAAGTGCCCCTTTGAAGGGGTCGCAGGAAGCTCTTCCCCTAGCAAGGGGTGACATCGCGCAACCATGAGGGATCATGTCGAACACAACATAGGAAAGCGTACCAATATATTGGCGCCCGCCGCGAGCGAATATATTCGAACATGGGTTTTCGCTAAGAGCAAATATATTGGTGTTTGCAATATATTGGCGCATTGGGTGCTCAAGGGGTGGAGAGCGGGCGCCGATGTCACGGTGGCTGTCTTGCCCTGCGCGCCCTTGGATACTTGCACGTCCAGGGTCTGCTCGAACGTGCGCAACGCGTTCTCACCAGCGCGGTGCGCCAGTAGGTCACGAACCCCCTCAGTCCGCGCGCGGCCACCGCCAGGTTGTCGAAAATGAAGCAAGCCAGCGCCCGCGGAAAGGCCTGAACGACCCAGTCCAGCTTGGCGAAGGAGGCGCGAACCGGCTGCCCGCGACGATGCCGCGCGCCCATCGTCGGCCCTCGGCGTAGCAGTCCCCCAGGACGGCCCTGCGCACCGCGGGGCAAAATCCACGGGGTGGCCCGCGGGATGGCGCGGTTGAAGCCCCAGTGCAGCCCCGCCTCCCACGCCTTCGCGTGGGCCACGAACTCGAAGTATTTGACCAGGTCGAAGTACGCGACGGCATAGTCGAGATCCAGGGCGGCCGTGGACTCGCAGAACAGTGCCTGCATCCAAGCCGCCCTCTCGCTGGACCTGCCTCGGGCTGCCCAGTCGTAGTCTCGCCTGTTCTTGGTCTCCCAGCTCCGCGCGCACGGCGTGCGGATGGTCTCCCACAGCCTCGCCAAATAGGGCATGAGTCCGAGATTGCGGTGGCCACCGCTCGGCTTGGCCAGCAAGTGGAACAGGATGGCGGCCTGCGCCGCGGGCCACGGGGCACCCGCCTCCGTGGCGTTCAGCACGCTGGCGACGCGCGCTGCTCCAGCGTAGCCGCCCAACTGCCACTGGCGAGGGTGCCAGTCGGCCTCGCCCAAGCCAGTCTTTGGGCCAGGGGGTCTGCCCGTTCAGCTCGTCGCCCCAAATGCGTTCCCAGCCCTCCAGCGCACTGTCGGCACCGGCCTGGGGGTGCACGAGCGCGTGGTCCTCCAAGTCCTGCGAAACGCCTGCGGTCGCCTGCGGTGTCCACGGGCTGGTGGGTTTCGCCCGCCGGTGGATGGCCCCCGCGCCTCGCTGTCCATGCGCGCGCACCCATCGACGCCAGCTGGCGGTCGAGGCGCGGTGTAATGCCAACCAGCTGCGGCGGCTGGCGAGGTCCAGCAGCTTGGTCATGCAGAAGACGTAGTGGAGCTCGCAATCGGTCGTCGCGTCGGCGGTGACGTAGCCTGGCGTGCTCGCGATGTCAGGCCAGTTGGTGGTGTTCCAACTGATGGTCGCGTCGGCGCCCTCCCCGGGGTGCCCCCCTTCCTGGATGGGCGCCGGCGTGTCGCCGTCGTCCTCGTCGCTGCGGGTGGCCTCCTGGTCGGGCGCGCGCTTAGCGAAGAGCGGCATCGCGATGGGGTGATTGGGAGGGCCCTTGGCGATCCTTGCCGAGGCGCTGTCGTGCAGGTGCTTGAGGTTGCGGGCCAGCCATTCGGCGCCCTCGGCCCACGCCCGCACGGCGGTGGCCTCCGCGGCGGCAGGGACCTCGATGTCCTGCCATTTGTACTTGGGCAGCTCGAAGTGGCCCATGCGCGTGGCGAGCTCGTCGCCGTCGAAATTAAAGAAGCGGTTGAGGTGGCTCTCGTGCGCCTGCCCCGCGTTGCCCCAGTGCTCGTCGATGTCCGCCCGCTCGTGGTTTCCCGCCCTGGCGAAGGGCCTCGGCCGCGGCGTAGGCGGTGCGGCGCAGCCCACGGGCAGCTTGATGGGCCACCGCTTGGGTGCGGTGAGCTTGTAGGGCTTCCTGCTACGGGAGCCCATCTGCGCGATCTCCTTCCTGACTGGCAGGTGGGGCGCCACGTTGAAGCCCTCCAGCGCCGTCGCCGTCAGCGGTCCCACGGCCAGGCTCGTGGAGACGATGAGATAGTCACTGGTGTTGCGCACTCCTGCCTCTCCTCCCGCGCCGCAGGAGCCCGTCTGCTGGTCACGCACGATGCTACCCTTCATCCTGCCCAGCAGCCCCGAGGCGTGCAGGTCGGACGGGTCCATGTTGAAGCCCCCGCCCAGCATCCACGCCTGCCGCGCGGCCTCCACGGCGGGCGCCCACTTGGGCAGGATCTGCTGGTTGCGTGTGGCGGAGCCCTCGCTGTTCCAAAGGTAGACGCCGCCGCGCAGCAAGCCCTGTTGCAGCGCCGCGCCCCCCGACGCGATGGCAAGGCGGCCCGCGGGGCCCTTCGGAGAGATGTCCCAGGTGTCGACGCCGCGCCTCGCATAGTCGAACCCATGACTACATAGAGCCGCAATGAGGACTCCCGCGCTCCACCCCCCCGATGTTCTGGTGTTGCCAGCCAGCCCAATGCGCCAGCCCTGCTTGTGCATGCGTGCGCGGAAGTCGTCGAGCTTGGCGGCATCTGCTTGAAGTTCTTGTGCCATTCTGACCCCTGCGGAGTCGGTGAACTTGATGCTGTTCATGACGCGCTCCAGCGTGCCCACCGTGTTGGCATTCACGGTGTAGAAGCGCTGTAGCTTGTGTGGCAGTACTTGCTACTCACATCGCGGTATCCACTGAGCCTTGCTGATGCTGAGGGTGTGTCCGCTTTCGAGCCCATCCAGCAGCACCTTAAGATAACCAAAATGCTGATCAGCCTGCTCGTCAGAGACGCCGCCTGCGAGGAGCACCTTCTTGATGACGGCCTCGCTGCTCTCGGTGGTGAACTCAAAGAGGCCCTCCTTGGCGATGGCCCCGCTGTCGAGCTCGCGGCGCTTGGTGCGGCCGCTGGAAACCTGGCTTGGCTGCTGGCGTTGCCGGCATCCGCCTCCATGGCATTCGCTTCGGCAGCTGCCTTCTCGGCGGCGGAGAGCCGCTCCTCCTCCTCCTCCTCCTCCTCCTCCTTCGCCTTGGCGAGGGCGTGGGCCAGCGCGTCCTCCAGCTTCTGATCCTTGGCGTGGCCGTCTCCCAAGCACTTGGCAGCCTGCTGCAAGAACTCCACCGCCGATTTCCAGCCATTCCCCGGCGAAGGTACCAACAGCTCGCCGATCTTCGCGCTGAGCGTGCCCAGCTTCTGGGTGAGGCGCTCGACACCGCCTTCTCGTCGGTGAGCGCCTTCTGCTGCTTGGCCATATCCGCCTCGATGTCGGCGATGCGGCCCTCGCGCTTCTCCTTCTGATCTGCCACACGGCTGCGGTCCCTGACGATGCGGCACTCCGTGAAGCAGCGTGGTATCTTGATCTCAAGGTCGGCCTGGGCTGAGGCGACCTGCTCCTCGAGGGCGGCCACCTGCGCGTTGAGTTTGCCAGCCAGCAGCGGGTCCTCGGCGATACGGCGCAGCTCACCCAGCCGTGCGCGGAGCTGCGCGAGTTGGGCGTGCTTCTCGTCGTTGGACTGGTCTGGCTCGGGCTGGCTCGACGCGCTGCCGTTGCAGGCGGGAGGCTTGGGCTGGGGGCTCCGGCCGCCGCGCTGCTTCCAGCACTTCTAACAGAATTTGTACTTCGCTCCATTCTGTGCATGGCAAGAATTGCACTGCCACTAGATCGCCTGGGACTGACGAGCGGGCACCTGGCTCTGACCACCGTGGCCACTCTGAAATCTGGTGGTCGAAACGCCGCAACTGCCTCTCCAGGCTGAAACAGCTTCGGGCGCAAAATGGCTAAGGAGGAGGAGGACGACGAGGAGGAGGCCAGGGAGGAGAGACAGGGCCAAGGGAGGAGGGGGAGGAGGAGGAGTGTTCTGGAGTGTCCTGGGCGCCCATCTCCGTGGCAGTGGACACTACGCAGCGTACAAGGCGCCAGGCACCATGCGCCGCGCCTGATCGCGCCGCACCCGGCTGGCGGCAACCTCCAAAACGGGGGTCGCAGGGCCACCATGGCCAGAGAAGAGACCTCGCCTGATGCGCTGGAGGTTCTCCCGGCCCTTCTGTGCTGGGCGAGAAGAAGAAGGAGGAGGAGGAGGAGGAGGAGGGGAAGGGGGAGGAGGATAAGGAGGAGGAGGAGGAGGAGGACGAGGAGATGCAGGAGGAGGAGGACGAGGAGGAGATGGAGCAGGAGGAGGAGGAGGAGGAGGAGGAGGAGGACAAGGAGGAGGAGGACGAGGAGGATGACGAGGAGGAGGAGGACGAGGAGGAGGAGGACGAGGAGGAGGAGGACGAGGAGGAGGAGGAGGCGGAGGAGGAGGAGGTGGAGAAGAAGGAGGAGGAGCAGGAGGAGGAGGAGGAGGAGCAGGAGGAAGACCAGTGTAAACCCAACACGCATCAACGATGTTGGAATACACCCTTCCTCAAAGCTCCCTCTTCATATGCTTCTACAAAGGTTCATTCCCAATGAGGGAGCCCGTTGGGGGGCAGCCGTCTAAAACATCCGGAAGCGTGCCAAAACCGTATTGTCAGGACCTCAACGCCACACATTAACCTGATGTGACGTCTTGGCGATCATGAATTGGGCCAGAACACCATTCCTGGGACTTTAACACTGCGAATCAACGTAACTGTGGCGTCCCGACAATCATGACTCGGTCCACAGCACCATTTTTGGTACGTCCACCGTGAATGGTGGAACTCTTGCGAAATTGTTACGAGATGTGCCGGGCGATGAAGCGAGAGCCACATTTTGAGAGAAGGAGCCGCGATCAATCCGTCAAGCTTTTGCGAACTTTAAAAACGAATGTGCGCGGCGCGACGGCGAAAACCACATTTTCAAACCACCCGCCCGCAATCCGTGAAACGCTTGCAAGCTTTGAACAAAAACAACAAGTATGCGCGGCGCGAATGCGAGAGCCACATTTTGAAAACCACACTCCCTCAATTCGTGACACTCTTGAGAACTTTTAAGACGAATGTAAGAGTCGCTGATGTGAGAGCCACATGTTGAAAACCACCCGCACTCAATCCGAGAAGGTCTCGCATATGTGTATAATGAATGTGCGCGGCGCTACGGCGAGAGCCACATTTTGAAAACCACCCGCCCTCCATCTGTCAAACCGTTGTCAACTTTTAAGCTTCAAGGTCACAAGTGGTAAGGAAGTATCAAGCGAAACGCCTGGCCCGCCTTTTCGACCAGCCTCGGGTGGAGGAGGAGGAGGAGGACGAGGTTGAGAAGGAAGACGATAACGAACGAGGAGGATGATGACGAACGAGAAGGACGAGGACGAGGAGGACGACGACGAATACGAGGACGAGGAGGAGGCCGGGAATCTATTGACCCGGGTGAAGGCAAACCCGGGTCAGTCAGGATCCTGCAGGATCCTGCACCCAACCCCGGGTCAGTGCACCCCTGGCCCTGCAGGCTCCTGCAGGATCTGGCGCTCTGGGTTCCCGGGAGGGGTGCCCGGCAGCACGGCTGCACGGAAACGACATCCAGGCTTGTCGGGGAAGCCGAGCCCACCGCGCTGCAAGTCGCTTGCGCGCCTCCAGGCCGGCCCCCCCGCCCACCCCACACCCCCTCTCTTGAGCCCCGAGGAGGAGGAGGAGGAGGAGGAGGAGGAGGAGGAGGAGGAGGAGGAGGAGGAGGAGAAGGAGAAGCAGGAGGAGGAGGAGGAGGAGACCGCTCCTCCACGCCAGCCCCCGCCCACACCACACCCCGTCTCGTGAGCCCCGAGGAGGGGTGCTGGGCGGCGGTCTGGGGCGCCTCTGCGGCGGGGGCGGCCCCGCGGGCGGGTCACGCCGGGCGCCAGCCGCCACGCGGCGTGGAGCCCACCTGGGGCACGCGACGCTCGACGCGCGAGGCCGCGCGGCGTCGACGCTCGACGACCATGCTCGACGACGGCGCTCGACGCCGGCAACGTTGGCGGCGGCCGCGGCGGCGGCCCGAGCGGAGCCGTGCGGGAGCACGAGCCGCGGCGCCGCAGTAGCCGCGGCGGAAGCGGAGACAGGATGTGGACGCGCGCGCGGGCTATGCTCCGCTCGGGGGAAGCGAAACTCGCCATTGCTCGGACATCCCTTCCGCGTGCACTTCTCGATTTCGTGCGTGTGGCTTTGCTCGATGATCCAGGATGCTCCTCGGCGGTCCTAAACGAAACTCGCCATCGCTCGGACGCCCCTTCCGCGTGCATTTGTCGATGCTGTGCGCGTGTTTTTTTGCTTGATGTTCCTCGGTGGTCCTCGCCGAGAAACAGTGCACACGGTCGAGCGATGCCAAGGAAAAGGCAGGATAGCAAAGGCAGGGTAGAGGATCAGCGCGCGTTGCTGGTTTTGCTGGCACCTCCTGGCGCCAGGAGGCGCCCATGCATCGGGTACTGGGCCCGGCGGCGGGGCGGAAACTAGCTGCGCGCAGCAGATTGCGTACTCCCTCCTTTCCCTATGTCCTACCCTGTCGTCCGCCCCGCGGCGACACATCGAGTCAGCAAGACCTCTGCGGGTTGTTTCGGAAGGCCTCAGTGGGCAGCGCGCGGGGGCCTCTGTGGGCGCCCTTGAGGCCTCTGTGGGCTGGGGCCTCTGTGGGCTGCGTCGGGAACCTCAGTGGGCAGCGCGCTGGGGCCTCTGTGGGCGCGCTTGGGGCCTCTGCGGGCTAAGGCCTCTGTGGGCTGCGTCGGGGGGCCTCAGTGGGCTGTGTCGGATGACTCGGTGGGAAGCGCGCGGGGGCCGTGGGCTCGCTTGACGACTCTCAGAGGGCAGCGGGCGGCAGCCTCGGCACGCTTGGCGCCTCTGTAGGCAGGGGCATCAGTGGGCGCGTGGGGGGCGTCTGTGGGAAGTCGGGGCCTCAGTGGGCAGCGCGCTGGGGCCTCCGTGGGCGCGCTCGGGGGGCCTCTGTAGGCTGCGTCGGGGGCCTTAGAGGACAGCGCGTCGGGGCCTCTGTGAGCGCGCATGGGGCCTCTGCGGGCTAATGCCTCTGTGGGCGCGCTTGGGGCATCTGTGGGCTGCGTCGGGGGCCTCAGTGGGCAGCGCGCGGGGGCCTCTGTGGGCGCGCTTGAGGCCTCTGTGGGCTGGGGCCTCTGTGGGCTGCGTGGGGAGCCTCATTGGACAGCGCGCTGGGGCCTCTGTGGGCACCCTTGGGGCATCTGTGGGCTGTGTCAGGGGGCCTCAGTGGGCAGCGCGCTGGAGTAACTGTGAGCGCGCTTGGGGCCTCTGTGGGCCGGGGCCTCTGTGGGCTGCGTCGGGAGCCTCAGTGGGCAGCGCGCCGGGGCCTCTGTGGGCGCACTTGGGGCCTCTGCGGGCTGAGGCCTCTGTCGGCGCCCTTGGGGCATCAGTGGGCTGCGTCGCGGGGCTTCAGTGGGCAGCGCGCTGGGCCCTCTGTGGGCGGGCTCGGGGCCTCTGCGGGCTGAGGCCTCTGTGGGCGCGCTTGGGGCCTTTGTGGGCCGTGTCGGGGGCCTCGGTCGGCAGCGCGCTGGGGCCTCTGTGGGCGCGCTTGGGGCCTCTGTGGGCTGGGGCCTCTGTGGGCTGCGTCGGGAGCCTCATTGGACAGCGCGCTGGGGCCTCTGTGGGCGCGCCTCTGCGGGCTAAGGTCTCTGTGGGCGCGCTTGGGGCCTCTGTGAGCTGTGTCGGCTGGGGTCTCTGTGTGGGCTGGGGCTTCTGTGGGGGCGCGCGGGGCCT